TTTTTTTTTTTGTTTTTGTTTGTGCATTTACATTTGTTGTTGTTTTCCAAAATTCTGGCTGCATCTCCAGAGTTTTGCAAACAGTAAATGAGTTTTAATGCTGCTCTAATCTCTGATATAATGCATTTGTGTGCAGTTAATAAAATAATAAAAAATAAAAACTAGGCCAGTACACTGAACAATATTCTCTTATCCCAGATATATGAATGTTTGCATGTATGTCAGCCAAAACGTCAGAAGAAACTGTAGCGCAGAAATGCCAAAAGTATGTTTGAGGTAATTTATAAAATGTGTTGTTATTACATGGCTATTACAGAGCACTGACAGATGTATTTTTCAGTTATTAAATGCCCCACTCAGCTCATCTTCATTTAAGTGAAGAGATTCTTATCAAAGATGTTTTCTGTATAACTAATTAGTAATTAAAAGAAAAGCGAATATCTGCTGATCTGTTTATAGATTTGAAAAAATATTCTTATCGAAAACTCCTGTATTAGGTTATACTGGAAAAAAAGATGTCCTAATCATAAAAATAAATAAATAATAAATTGATATTATAGAAAGCGATCTCAGCTCTAGTGACAAATGCAAAGACAAGATTGTAAATGTAAATTATCTTTTGGCAAAAGAGATCAATACTACATCCTCTAATCAACAAATACAAGTATCCAACTTGCATTTTGAATGCTGCTGATTAATGTCTAAAAATATTTGTGAAGTTGTCTTGGATTTAGTTACAGATGGCAGATTCTGTGAATTTTCACACACAAAATGCTGGTTTGCACATTAGTCACATTAATTCAACTTATTTAAAAGCCCTTCCTTGCTCATGTGCAGTGGGTGACCATGTATCTAATAAGGTGTTATATGCACACTGGAGTTTTACCACTCTGCGTCCACCAGTCTCCATCATAGTCTTTTCTGCAAGGAAACAGTTGCCTGTAAGACACTGAATTATTGTGATGTGATACCAAAAAATGGTCAGATCTAAAGGTGTTGAAAGTGTCAGAAGAAAACATCAGTAATCATCAACGCCAGTCTAAAAGTATTCATAAGAGTCTGTCCAGCACTGCATCAGTCACTGCTACCATCAGCCACCCGGTGAAATATTGACTCAGCGCCTCGGCTCAGTGAGGAACGGTGTTTGTCAGGAACAGTGACGACTGCTTTTTCATCAGCTGGCCTCTCACAGAGAAGGTGCACTGTGTGTTTCCCTCTGTGTTTGACTGACGGACGGCTCCCCTGTCTCCTCAGCAGCCATGGAGACGGATGGAGAGCAGAACCAGCCAGGGGCTTCCACAAATGGGAGCGCCGCATCTGG